ATTATTAACTGAAAGATGGGAGGCAACTGAAAAAGACCAGACAGAGAGAGGACAGCATGTAACTAAAGGACAACATCTTCAAAGTATATACTTCACCCCTAGGTTGGCAGCTGCGAGGTAGAAAGGGTTTTTATATTCTCAGTTACTATTTATTTTATATTCCGTACTTTTCTCAGCATTTGGATGCCAAACTGTCCTTTGTCAGTTGTACAGTATGTACAATTTTCCCCCTCTGCTGAGAACTATTCATAATTCATTGCCTGGATTTGACTAACTATATTTCTCATGAATTTACAAATAAGTGAAATTTCTTATACTCTAGTGGCTCCTTGTGGAGTTGCCTTTTTTAGACTGAACTGCACATGATTCACTGTTTGTTCAAGGTTTTTTGGGGTTTTTTTTCTACGTTTGCTGTAATGTACATACAGGTTTTGATTCTTAAGTAAATAGCTAGGAAAAAATCTCCCAAATATTTGAAGACAAAAGTCCTTTATAAAGTAGTTCAGCAGTTTCATAATATTTGTTTCAAACTGATTTGTTACTTGGATTTTTACCTGACTTTTTATTCAATGTGCACTAACTCAGAAAAAAATGCACATCAATGAAATCTTCCAAAATTGAAATGATATATGTATGGGGGACACACTTAGTCCTGTTGAACTGGCCTGAATCACCTGAAGACAGTAGAGCTATTCTACCAAAGCTGATCCAACTGTCTCTTTGCAATCCTGTTGCTTGTTTCTATCAGTATAGCCCATTCTCTTCTATCTGTTGCTGCAATATACATGACAAAATGAAAATATTCTTTCAAAGAAAAAGAAACAAACCTTCCAGCAACTGATAATTACTTGCTTTGACAATACAGTACTTAAAACTTTGAAATTTTTGACAGCAGGCTTTGAAATATTTGGGCTCCAGAGGAGCTTGTACAATTGTTGCATTTGTCTACTGAAATTTAGAAGATGGGTGGGTGAGCCTTGAGCAACCTGATCTAGTGAGGAGCTGTCCCTGCCCAGGGCAGGGGTTGGGACTGGATGATCTGTAAGGTCCATTCCAACCCCTAAATTCTGTGATTTTATGATTCCAATCCAAACCATTCTATGTACAAAAGTAAGGATATTTATCAGCTCTTTCGTAAGCTTTTCCTTAAAATTCCAACAACGTTCCATTTCCTGTGACTTCTAACTTATCTATATTTTCTGTCTGACATTAGAACTGATTTATACCTATTCTCTACCTACTTTCTTACAGATAAGAGCCTTCCAGAGGTTGGACTGTTGATGAAAATCTGCTCTTGTGTTGTTTTCTCACCTACAGCATTTGAGAGAATGTGACTTCACCTAAAGCAAAACTTGCAAAGATTATATGTTTCTGATGTTAAAAGTCTTACCAAGGAGGCATTTGCCAACAATCATTTTGTGATATTAACTCCCAGATGTGGAAGATGCTGTCTAAGCACTTGACCTCAGTATAACTAAGTACACAGATTTCTGTCATGTTCATAAGTAAATGTATAATACATTTCATTCTTTGCTGTGCTTTGGGTTACAGCTGAGTGAAAAGGTGTTAAGCAATGTCAGACACACTCACTGGATAGAGAGAGATACAGATATTGAATTTAAATATCTGGCTGTAGTTCTATGTCCTTTGATTATTTACTCCTAAATCTCCCAGTGCAATGGAAATGATTCAAGCAAAAAGCATAGATGAATTCAAAATAAGTACAAAAGCAGCTGCTGTTAAGTAGTTAATCTAGACTTAGACTAGCCTTTAAACTCCTTCACAGCTTGTCATGAAAGGAACAAAACATTTCATCTTTCAGAGGCAGCAACAGACTGTGATGTTATCTTTCTTATGGTACTGCTTTGAACTGTGACATTTATTCTGACTTCCACCTTCATTCCTATTCCTAGCTTGATGCTGAAAGAGAATTTCATTCATATTTGCAGATATTCTTTTGTAACTTTTATGCAGCCTTTACCTTGAGGCTTTCTTTTTCCCCATAGAAAAGTGTTTTTATGAAATTGGGTCAATTGAATTTCATGATCACTTCTGAAAGCAAAGAGCACTTTCTGATAGCTTTATCTCTGCCACAGAGAGTGTGTGTTAACAGAAGGGATCCCACTGATGGAGATTCAAATAGCTAAAAAACGGTCACCATTTGACAGATCCTGTCTATATGGAATCATTTGAGGACATAAAGGTGAACATTTGAGGTGTTATTCTGGCCCATCTAAATGCAAAGATTTTCTAACAGTTTTAATAGAACCTGGATTCTGCCCCTTCCTTTTACTTGATATCCTTCACTGGAAGGATAACTAACTGATAAATAAAAACGTGAGTGACCATTTCTCTCCTTTTTTTTTCTTCCAACACTCTAAGTGAGCAGGGAGTCCCAGCTAGGGGAACAGAACAGAAATTGGTGACATGACAAAAGCATTAAGTGACTGTAAACAGAGTCTGATTGATCAGTGGAGATGATTTGAGCTGCCCAGAGTTCCAAAAGGGGAACACTCTGCCACACCAGTGTGACACACCTGCACAGCAAGTTTGAATCTGAGTGCAGAAGAGAAGTCTCTGAGCAGAAAGGGCACAATTCCAAAGAGGCTGAAGGGGCAGATTTTAGCAATACTACTTTATCAAAGTGAAGTAGCAAAGGAAGCAACATAAACCTATTTACTGAGAAGAAGTGCAGGAGTTTAGATGAAGGGTCATGTCCCCTCAACTCTCCTTTTCTCTAAAGCAGATCCAGCTGTTGCATCTTGTCTTTAAAGAACCCAACTATTTTCTCCGTTTCCCCTTCTTCTTTCTCAGTCATGTTCTTGATGATTTCTTCCTGTATTTTCACGTGAAAAGGAGTCTGTGAAGAAGCAAAAGTCTTAAAACCTTTCATGTTTATCTTCCTTCTCATAAGAACATTTTCCTCTGCTGTGCCATTGAAAGAGGAAGTGAAGCAGTCAAAGCAAAGAGCTAAAGAGAGAACGTGGAGGTTCCTAGAGTGGTGCAGCATTTACAAACTCTTGAGTTCTCACTGAGCTGTACAAAGCTGAGCAGTGCAGTGTCTAATGCCTGGCTTAGTCTCTCCTTTGTTCTAAGCAATTAAAAGGTGTAGAGCTAATAAGGAAAAAAAATTACCTACACTTAATGAACGGAAATGATTGAAACAATTGCAAGATAGAGAACCTGTAAGATTGGACTGAAAATTAAGAATTGATTTTAATTTAGTTTGTGTTTTCTGAGCTGTCCACTTACCACTATAAACACAGCAGTGGTTATACAGCCCCTATTTATCCCACTTCTGAATCTTTCAGCAAGTTTCCATGGCAACATCACCCCAGCCCATCAAAACAATTAGCACTAACTTTGTCTGTTACCTGACTCAGCATCTCATGATAACCAATCTATGGGTAAAAAATGCTGGGCCTGTTACTGCTCTGGTTAGTGTTTTGAAGTCCTTTTGTTCAGTCTGGTGTTTCTATGTTATTCTACTTGTTGAGAAAAAATTATTGAAAAGTAAAAATTTTATGAGGAAAACACCTTTAAGATAGGATTTCTCAAAGCCACTGATTGCAGCAGGAGTTATCTAAAAAAAGGACAGAATATAACGTGTTTCAGTTAAGGAATCTTGTTACATGAGCAAGAAAGGATAAAAAATTCCCAAACCAGCAGTGTGTGATGCTTTTCTTTAGAGAGTGCTGATCTGTGCCAGCTCTTTAGGCAACATAGATCAGTCTCTTTTCCAGTTTCACTGCATTGTGTGTCACACTGATCCTCCTGCTCCTTTCTCTTCCACATCTGCTCCAGCCATCCTTGTGAGAGGAGGTAAACCCATCTCCAGATTGGTGTTTCTCCCACCACACAGCTGTGCACAGCTGGAGGTGAGAATAGACAGTGCAGGAGGTTGAGTATTCAGCATAATTCTCAGCTGTGAGACATTATCTCCACATCCATAGCAGAATTTGTTCTGCTGTGACTATCAATTTTAGTCCTCTCTATCAAAACACATCTAAAAATTACAAGAAACTATAGTGGTCCTTTTTATATAAAAGGATAAATAGAGCATTTTATTAACACTTTTTGCAGCAACAAAAGTGACACAGTCCACATCTTTTTCATTAAACACAGCAAAAGCTATGGTCACGTTTTACATCACTTTGAGGCACAAAGCAAAATACTTTTTTTTTTTTCCTTAAGGTCAAGGTATGATTTGCATTTAAAAAAAAGGAGAAGAAACAATCCTCAAGTTGTATATTGCGGCAGCAGGGTTTCCAATCACTAGCACAATACAATGAACAGACCAAGAATCCAGAATGGATTATTACATACAATAATAATCATTTGATTGAATTAAGAAATGGATCATTGTTGTCATTTTAGAGTATTAAGAAGTGGTCTGGTGTTGCTAACTTCAGTTGGTTCAGTTTGGCTCAATCCCAACAACCCCAAATATATACAACAAGCTAAATGAAGGTTAATATATAGTCTAGAAGATTATGCACTTGATAATGCATTGCACTTATTGCTTGGTACACTAATGTTGCAGTCACTGTTGAGTTATGCTAAAAAGACAAGCATGGTGCTTGTTGGCTTCTTTCAACCCAACACTAGTTATTTACCACTTTGGTTTATTGTGAGTTCATATGTTACTCATATTCAGTGTCCATTATTATTAGGTTTAATCGAAAGACAAATACATCTTTTATTTCAGGGATTTCTAAAATAACAACATTTTCTATAATTACAGTATCTTCAATAAACTTATATCTATGTATACAACTGTGGCACGATGTGTAAAAATATGGAAGCTATTAAGGGAATAAAGAAGGGTTAAATTATTCTCTGTTTCTTCTATTGGCTTCAAAATATTCTGCAAAACAAATACATCCTTTTTTCATAGGGCTACTTGCTCATAGTAAATTTCTCTTTGGAATTTTGTAAAAGACTATATCTTTTTCTATGTTATATTGGGTTTTTTCCTCTCTCTAAAGACACCAGTACGAATTTGGAATATACTGCAAAGAATAGAGTAATAAAGCTCTTCTTTTTTTTTGACAAAGGGATTTGACACTCTGCCTGAAAAGTCAGACTTAATATTGGTATATATTGGTTTAATGTTAGTTGATAAATGCAGGGAAGAACATGACAATGCCTACAATTTCATGAGGTTCTGTAAAGAATAGAAATAAGAATTTGTGCCCAAACATTCAGTATAAAACTCCTAAATAATTCCTTTCTTCATCACAGAGTAGCCTGCAGCATGTAATCACCATAAACATACAATATGCCCTATTTGTTCTTTTGGCTTGATACAATTACCATCAAGGGAACTGGATCAATCCTGGTAAATGCCTAGGACTCAACCTTTCTTCTCTAAGAAAGTTCTTGTCTTAGACTAAACACACAATCCTACATTGCACTGAGTAAACGTGTGCCTTAACACAATCTCTTTCAATACAGTGTAACAAATATATAAGTGCATTTTTAATGATCAAGTAGTTTTGGCTTTCTAAAAAGAGCATTAGATGTGCCAACTTGGTTGCTTAGTTGTGCTTTAATCTTTAGTTATGAGTTTTAGCTCTTGTATACTGTAAGTATCTAATTGCCTCTATAGTTTTGACCAGTAAACCCTTAAAACTCTAATGTTTATAGAACAAATATAACCTAATGAAAGTGATAACATGTCACAACTCATACAGATTGCACTTTGATGTATTTTTTTTTTACAGTAAGACCTTCCTGTTTGATATGTGTTTACATGTTTATACCACATTTTATTTCCGTGTGCAAACAATCACAATGAATTGAATCACAAACACTACAAAATATACCAAATATTTAGGTTTGTTATGAATAACCTCCTGCCTTGTAGTTGTATGAGTCTTGTACTTCCTCTTGTACAAATTCCTCTTTTTTCTCCCAACCATTAGGCCAGCCACCATTGACCTGGGTTGTAGCACCGTAAGACTTGGTGGTACCATAATTTACATAATTCTGAGTAATGTCCCCTGTTTCTTCAGCAAGTTCATCTTCATGAATAAAGCCACATTTCTCTTCACTTGTCTGCTCAGGGTCTGCCCAGGGTTGTTTCTCTCCTGAAGCAAATATGCCATAGAAGATTACACCTCCGTAATGAACTAAAGCAGCGATGAGGAAGACATACTGCCATTCTTCACGTGTCTGGAAAGAAGAAATTTGCTATATTAGATCAGCACATAGGTTTATCTAACTCTTCTGAGCTGAAAGATTTAAATTAGGGATTGATGTTGTGGTAATCAGCACAGCAAAATGGTTAAGTGTCCAGATTCCAATTATTTATATTCATCTTTCTTTGAAAAAAATTCATTAGTCTTTAAAAACATCAACCTGGTAAGGATATAGTGAATCATGCTTCAAATCTGCATCCATGGATGCAAGTCCCAGACTCTAACATGGAATATCTTGGCAAGTTGTACTATAGGAAGGTCTTTCTTGAAACCAGTAGTATTAAACTGGAAGCTTTGGAAACTGTATTTCCATTTACCTTGTTCTTTGTCATTGCTCCAACAATTATAGGGCAAACCATTCCAGACAAGGTCCCGACTCCATTAGAAATCCCCATTAAGATGCTGGCATACCTCGGGGCAATGTCTAAGTGGTTGACATTGAATCCTGCAATAGAAAGGTCAGTGAACATTCATACCAAGAGCAGAGCATTGCTTCAGTTGTGAAAAATAACTCAGCACTTGGTAATTTTACTATTGCATATTTCGGCTGCTTAATTGCATTTCTTGTTCTCTAAAAGACTTCAATATTCCTAAAGAGACTCTGGGTTTTAATTTTCTTTTTAAAACAAATTACAAAAGGACACCAGATTAATTTTCTTCCCAATATTGCAGTTTAAGAAAAATCCTAAACTCCCAGTAGTGTCTGTGTGGAATAGAGGACCCAGAAGATATTTAGGCAGGGAGAAAGTTTGTGTTTCACAGAGTCTTTCATGATCATTTCATGCTGTAATTAACATGATATTTCTTCTTCCAGTTTGTCCCATATTCCTTTCCTATTGTCCACATTTTACTTTTTGTCACACAGATCAGCAGAAGGGAATTCCCTCCTGGTAAAATGAAGGAAGTACAAATACAATATCTTGAGCTGATATATTAATTAATGTTTATAAGTGTTTGTTTGTTCTCTTGTATTTCCAGCAGCAAAATTCTGTTGAAAACGTATGCAGTAACAATGTAAATAATCTTAGAAAAAACAGATGCTTCTCTGAAGTGACAGAACTCCTTGTTCCCAACATAAGCACTTAAGTAAATGAAAACAGAAAACAAATGTTTGGATACAGAAAGACAGTAAAAGGCAAGCAGTGTGATATGGAGAAAGTGCAATACACTTCCCAAGTTGTACAAAACAGGCACAACACTGTGCAGAATACATGGGATTAAAGAGAGATTTGGTTAAGGAGAGTTTAGATGTTTGGCACAGAATGAAAGAGAGACATAAGGAACCAGCATGGGAGAGGATACTAAGATCACAGTGGGAAAACAAGAGCAGGACAGGCAAGCAGTGTGATATGGAGAAAGTGCAATACACTTCCCAAGTTGTACAAAACAGGCACAACACTGTGCAGAATACATGGGATTAAAGAGAGATTTGGTTAAGGAGAGTTTAGATGTTTGGCACAGAATGAAAGAGAGACATAAGGAACCAGCATGGGAGAGGATACTAAGATCACAGTGGGAAAACAAGAGCAGGACAGTTGGGC